TTTTTTTTTTTTTTTTTTTTTTTTTTTTTTTTTTTTTTTTTTTTTTTTTTTTTTTTTTTTTTTTTTTTTTTTTTTTTTTTTTTTTTTTTTTTTTTTTTTTTTTTTTTTTTTTTTTTTTGCTCTCTATACCGCTATAGATAAGATTTGGTTGAATAGGATTTTTAAGACAGAAAATAGTATGAAACAAAGTTTTTATACCAGTGATATCTTTGTTATTTCCTTCCACATTGTAAAGTCACCGTCACAAAGATTTTATTATCAACATGTGAATACTATTCTGTCTTGTTCTATACTGTAAATATTATTTTGTGGGGTAAATTATATTTAAATTAAAATCATATGATTAGGCCTACATTAAATATATAATTAATTGTAATATTATTAATAATGAAATAATTATAAAGAGCATATGTTTATAATCGCTAGAAGTTACCAAATAATCCAAGCAAATTAAGCGGCAAAACAATTTGCTGTCCTCTTCAATATTTTCCAATATTATTTAAATTAATTAATATTTTTGCCTATTATTATCGAATAACGATTATGAACACCCAACCACCAATCATTAAAGGACACCCAACACCTTTTTATTTTATAATACAATTAATTATTATCAATTCAACAATATATAGTAATTTAAAATTATAATTATGTTACATTTAAGATATGCTAAAAAATTATATAGAATTAATCTCAGTTAGTTTTTTATTTAAAAAATTAATTATACTAAAGTCCAAATGCACGTAGACGTTTACAAAATTGCCCCTATTTAACCGTTTCTGTTATAAAAAATGGCTGCAACCACGCGAATAAGAAGGGAGGGTAAATGAGTAAAAAGTGCAGGACGGCGTCGTTTCTGCCGATTCTCACTCTTTATCAGCCAAATTAATTATAATTAGCTATTTTTTTTTTTTTAAGATTCTAATTATATGTAAACAATAATAACAGTTTTAATTATTCGTGGAATGCGAAGCACAGGAATATTTCTCTTCTAATTATTATGAAATTAATTTAATTTTATTTGAAAAAGAAAAGGGATGAAGATGTGGGTACTTAAAAATGGCGCCAAATTCAAGGCTGCCTCCCACGTTACACTTTGCTGACACCATAACGGTCTCTTAAAAACTTCCATTCACTACTCATTTTACAAAATTGCCCTTCTCTTTTATTTTACCCCTATTTATTTTTATAACCATTATTTATCCCTTAATTAGATAATTACGAATTTTTAAAGATTGTAAATATCTAATTTGAAAAAGAATAACCGAAAGCATAATAAATGGTAATTATAAAAAAATGGTTAAGATTCAATTTAGTTTTAGGACAAAATCGTCTCAGTCAACAAAAATATCACTTTGAATCGCTAATTTCCATAACAAATCTTTTGCCCAGTCAGCACCCACTCTCGTCCCTCCTGCTCCGTTGGATCTCCCACTTCTTCAATCCTCGTCTGCCACGTGTCATAATCTGACCTCCCCTGTTTTTGCGGCAACTCGTGAAAATATCCCCCGTCGCTGGCATTCCAACTCCCCCCCCCCCCCCCNCCCCCCCCCCCCCCGACAATGGCGGCGCGTGTGAGTGTGTGCGCGTGTACTATTGGAAGTTGGGGGTTGGACCGGGTTTTTTTTTGAAATACGGGTGTTAAGGGATCCTATAAAACAGGGAGGTTTGGTTATTCGCTGGGATTTTCTTATCTCCTTCTTCTTCTTCTTCTTCTTCTTCTTCTTCTTCACTCTCCCATTTTCTTTCTCATTTTCCGGGAAAATTTAGTGGGAAAATTACAGACGCTTTCCAGGAAGTTCAAAGAACAGAGTAAGTGCGTTGAGGGAAAAGGGCATTTATTCCTCTTCTCTTTCTTCTAAAGCTGCTCTTACCCAACTTTTCTTTTTTCTCTCCCACTTCCTCCAATTTTCCCAGAAAATTTCTCTTTTCCATGTCCATTTTCATGTCCTCCTTTTCCCCTTTTCCCCTTTTCCTCCCTCTTCAATGAATGGTTCTGGGCTTCCCGTTTTCGCCATTTCTTTCCCTCTCCCGTTTACATCTTAATCGCCTTTTTCTGCAATTTTCTTTTCGGTTTATTCAATCTTTTTGGTTCTTATGATCGCTATAATCACAAACGAATAAGTGGAGCAACGTCGCTGATTAATCTCCCAGCTTCTCTTTCACGTGTTCTTCAATTTTTCCTTTATTCTTCCATGGAATCTTCCCCTTTCTTTTCTCTTTTTACCCTCTTTCCCCAATCTCTATATTTCACTCGCATTTCGCTTTCAATGGTAGCTCTCTGAATCTGCTCTCTTCTTCTTCCTCTGTTTCTCATGGAACCAATGGACTTGTTCTCCAGTCCTGTTCTGCCGCCGATCAAGTACACTGAACATCGTAGCCAAACCAGACTCGTTTCTCCGCCATTAATGGCACCTAAGGTCGTAAAGATTTCTGTAATGGACGCGGATGCCACGGACTCTTCTGGTGATGAAGAAGAACAAGACTACGCTTGTCGCCGAGTCAAGAAATTCGTTAACGAGATTACAATCGAGGCCTCGCCGGTGAAGAGTAGCCGCAAGAAATCCACCGGCGGGAAATCCAAGTTTCCGGCGGTTAATCGGGATCCATTGAAGCAGCAACCGGCGGGAAATAAGAAATTCCGCGGCGTACGGCAACGACCATGGGGGAAATGGGCGGCTGAGATTAGAGATCCTTTACGACGAGTACGGGTGTGGTTAGGCACATATAATACGGCTGAAGAAGCCGCTATGGTCTATGATAATGCTGCCATTCAACTCCGTGGGCCCACCGCTCAAACGAATTTCATTCCTCCGCCTAAGTCCTCGCCGGAAACCGCTGCGGCGAGCTCTGGCTATGTCTCGGCCGAGGAATCCAACGAGAATCTGTCCTCTCCGACTTCCGTTCTCCGTTGCCCGTCGCCATCGACAAACGACGTCGTATCCGGAAAAACCTCAACAACAACGACAACCGGAAAAGAAACCGGCCGAGACGAACCGGAGAAGATTTCGGAATTCTCGTTCCATTCTAACTACGATACATTTTTCCCCAATGATAACTTCGACTTCCGACCGCCGGTTCCGTCTCTGTTCGGCGAGACCACACTCAACGACGGCTTGAAGGGCGACTATGGCAGTAGTATGTTCATTAACCCGGCCGATGATTTCGGGTTCGGTTTCGGTTTCGGGTTCGGATTATCCACGTGGCATACGGTTAAAGATTCCTTCCAAGACATCAGCGACATATTCGGGTCGGACCCTCTTCTTGCGCTTTGAGGTTTTTCTTTTAATTTTTTATTTTTTTTAATAGGTTGGGTTTTCGGCAATTTTGTGAGTGTCCCATTTTCCTTTTTATTTTATTTTTTTTAATTAGTTTTTTTATTTCTCGTAAATTTTGGGGTTTGTAAGTTGTCGATGATGTGTATCAAAAATGAAATGGTATCTTCCGTCACAGTAACGGTGACGGACAAATTTTGTGTACGTCTTTTCTTTAGCTCTTTTTCCTTTTAACGGACTGGCACGAGCACGTGACACGCACATTTAATAAATAAATAAAATAAATAACCTCTAAACACGTGCGAGAGAGGATACACGTGTGACGTGGCTCCATTGTCAAATTGCCGAATGTCACCCACCAACTTAATTTTTAGTATTTCATGTTATTTAAATTTTTATTGAATTCGAGAAGGGCAGATACGACTTTTTCCTTTTCTTTTTCTAATAAAATTTCACATTTCAATTTATCGTTGTTTTTATATACTTTTATTACAATACCAAAATTCTATATCCTAATTTTTCAAATTGCAGCTATTTCTTTAACAAATAATTTACATTACAAATATTTATCACTTTTTTTTATATGATTTTTATTAATTATTTAATTATCTCAAATAAAATTTAAAAATAATTATATTTTCTTCCATAAAATGTTTTTAGCTAATTTAAACCGGGACACAATCAAAAGTGTTTTGAAAATGCTAAAAATACAATTTAAAGTACTTTTAAAAAAAGTATTTTTTTTTTTCTAAATGCATTTATATTAAAGAAGACTTTAATTAAGAAAGAGGCTGAGTTATAATTAAAATGCTTATTTGTTTCTTTCGATGCTTTATTTTTAATAAATAATTTGTAAAAAAAAGTTATAATAATCAAAATGTTTTTGAAACTTTTTTAAAAATGCTTAAAAAGTAATTTAAAGGGCTTTTAAAATAAATGTCTACTGAATCTAATACTTATGCCAAAAACATTCTACAAATTTCAATATTTTAGGTTATCTTTCATAACTATTTATTTTTTTTATAAAAAATTATACTATAATTAAACATTATTTTCCACGTGGAAATTTTTTATTTGTTATTTAATTTTTAACATTATTTTCAAAATTCATATTAAATTTCCAAACTAACTGCATTTTCTTAAAATTTAGCTAAAAATTTAAATGTACGTAAAAAAATAACATCCTTATTAGACTGAAATAATAATAATAATATTATTATTATTATTATTATTATTATTATTATTGTCCAATGGGAATAGGCACAAATATTATTCTATTTTCAAAATGATAAAATGAATAATGGAGACCTACTAAATTTTGTAAATTTTCTTTAGAAAAATAAAACTTTTTTTTTCTCCAAATTATATAATATATATATATAAAAGGTGGTGCCCAAAAGGCGGCCATGCGTTAGATTGTAGAGAAGAACACCCGCAGGGAATTTCCTCCCTTAGCCAGTGGGGCCCACCAAAACTCAATCCTAACCATACACGTAAGCATCAGACAACTATTCCTGTCCGATCACATGGTCTGTATCTACTGTACAACCGTCTTGTAAATGGGCCGTCTGGTCCCCCAGGCCCAGGTCTTGTTGCTTCTGTTTCCCACCCATACCCACGTGGCAGATATTCTGATAGTGATTGGATCCCCACAGAATCAAGCAATGGGGTCTTGCGCTGATGTGGACTTCCCTTTTATTATTATTATTATTATTTTTGGATAGGTGTGAAATTAACACGTCAGCAATGCCCCCACCTCCCAATCACGGGCCTTTTTCAGTTCCCCTGGCCCAATCATTGCCACTGTCCATAGCCAAGTTGAAGAGCCGCCGTCAACCCGATTCAAATTAAATTTTATGAGTTTTTTTTTTTTTTTTTTAATTTAGTTATTAAAATATTGGCAGCATGCTTTAGGTATTTTCCGTGGCAACACATGCAAGTGATTCGTAAGAACCTACCCTTGAAAGAGAGAACCTGTCCTTGGAAGAGGGACAATAAAAATACATGGGTGAATAACTTGTAAAAATGTACTCTCTTAAGAGGGGCACTGGTGAGTAACTTGTAAGAACTTGCTCTCGGGAGGGAGGCACAAATGAGTAGCTCGTAAAAACCTACTCGTAAGAACCTGCCCATAGGAGGAGGGAGGCACAAGTGAGTAGCTCGTAGAAACCTACTCGTAAGAACCTACCCATAGGAGGGAGGCACGAGTGAGTAACTCGTAGAAACCTACTCGTAAGAACCTATCCATTGGAGGGAGGCACGAGTGAGTAACTCGTAGAAACCTACTCGTAAGAACCTATCCATTGGAGGGAGGCACGAGTGAGTAACTCGTAGAAACATAAGAACCTGCCCACTCACTCGTAGAAACCTACTCATAAGAACCTGCCCGGAGCAGCCCATCTTTGTCTTAGTAGAGTCTTTCAGTGGCATGTTTCGATCCTCTTCCCCATTACTTAGAAAAAGTGAGCCACCGGTTCAGATACAAGATACTATCATTATCGCCTGGACAATTAGACATCCAACCCGTAATCGCAACGACCCAATTGCAAGAGCGGAGCTCTACCAACTGAACTATATCCCCCCAAAGGCACAAGTGAGTTACTCGTAAAAACTTACTCAAATATAATAATTTTGTGAAGAAACAAAAAAATCCCGAGAGAGAACAAAATTATATATATATATATATAGGTTTTTGATTGAAGTATGGAAACATAATAAATGATCAAATTTGAATAAGAAACATTAAAACATGCAAAGGTACAATAAATGGAAATCAAAGAAAGGTGGAGAAAAACATGGCAATGGCGGCTAATCCCGCAGGAACAAGCAAGGCATTGGCATTGGCGTTGACATTGGCATTGGATCCTTTCGTGGCGGCGGTTGGGGCTGCAGCCGGGCCTACGTTTTGGGTCGGATCCAAATTCGTGTGAATGCCAAAAGTTTCAAGGTTGAACGGCAATGGGTCCGCACCAGAAGTGCCCTCCTTCGAACCCACTTGGACGTGCAGCTTCTGCCCAGCCTCACAATGCTTCCCAATTCCATCGAAGTAGTAGTAGTCCCCCGCCTCGGTCAGGTTCAGGATGGTCGGCCCTAGATAGTACATGTTTATCACATTCTCCTCACCACATACTTCGTAGTCCGTCTTCTTCACCGCCACTATATTGTTCGCACCAGGCCGATATGGGAAAACTACAAAACATCAAGAACACATATTAGAAATCACAACTCTCTATAATGATACGATAGACACATGATTTAGAGACACATACCGAGCTTGTCTCCGACACCGAAAGTTCTAGGCTTAGCCCATTCATCGTAGAATGTAACGTTATCGGGTACTCTCCAGCCATGGCTTGCGCCGACAATATGAGTGAATGCATTCACAGATGATCCCATCATCATCATCATTGTCGTGATCGTCATGATCATCATAAACTTGTCCATTTTGGTCCGCTCTCTCTTTGGAGATTAAGAGAGAGAGAGATCAGAAAAGAGAGGGAGGGTAGAAATGAATGTTGTTTCTCCTCTAAATCAAAAGGGAACAAAAAGAAGAGAAATAGGCAAAGGGGTTTAGTTTGTTCTTCTCCGTTAATGGTTGCTGCTTCTTTGTTTTGTTTGTTTTCATCGCTAGGCCTATTTTTTTACCTCTTTTTTCACCAACATACCTATTTTAAGTATATCCTTTTTTTTTTTTAATATTATTATTTTCCCTTTTTAATCCAACATTAATTACACAAAATTAGAGTTTTTAAATTGGTTTGTTAATCAACTTAATTTCCATCTAATTGCTCTACTTCTCTTATTAATTACCATTAGGTTAAATTATAAATTTAGTTTCGAAAATTATATTATTGGGTCCACATTTTTTCTTTTAAAATAAAAATAAATATTCTCATGGATTAATGTTAAAATATCATTTTTGTCTCTTTAAATTTTGTTATAGCCTTTTTTATATAAATATTATTATTATTTAAACATTTTTTTAATTCTCTAATAATTAAAAAAAATTATTTTGTATTTAATAAGTTTTTAAAATTTTAAAATAGATTTATTCAAAACATTTTTATGTTACTAACTTATTAAATATAAAATTATTAGACACAAACGTTAAGATTAAATGGGTAGCTTTAAGATTTGTGCAATTTTTAAAAAAAATGTAAAATATATTTGGTACTATAATAAATAAAATCTGGACTAATATTATATACGTTAATAACATTAAAGTTTTAGGGTAATTATACTAATTGATTTAATTTGTTTCATAATCATTTAAAAATTTTAATTTCACACTATATTAAAAAAGGTTTGATTTTGGTCGGAAAAATATAGTTAAAAATTCGTCAACTTATTATTAATATATTTGGATGCATGCCACTAAGATTCCACTTGACAAATCAAATGCAACTTGTCTATTACAAAAAAAAAAAAAAAAACATTAACATTTTATATTTAGATCTAAAAAAATGCTTAGAATCTTATAGATCTTACTATTTGTCCTTTTATATGAATATAATATTCTAGATGCAAATTGAAAATTCGAAAAGCTTTATTAAGCTATTTCTTTACAAAAATGAGAAATTTAAATTTTCGATCTCTCTAATTACGATTCCGATTGAGCTATATTCATGATGTTCTCCCTATTTGCGAGTCAGATTGAGCTATACTCATGATGTTCTCCCTAATTACGATTAGGATTGAGCTATACCCGTGTTCTCCCTAATTACGATTAGGATTGAGCTCTACTAGTGTTCGCCCTAATTACGATTAGGATTGAGCTCTACCCGTGTTCTCCCTAATTACCACTATTTTTCTCTAAAATTCAAATATGAGAGAGATAAAAGAAGGGGAAGAAACATGAAAAGGGAGCTAGGAGTCTCATTCAAACTCAGGACACTGTACACAGCAATACAAGACCACACCAACTGACTTTCATCATTATAAATAAGACCAAAACAGAAACACCAAAGGAACTGCTACAATATGCAAAAGAATCCAAATCCCTCAAGACCCATTTGCATTTCTAACTAAATGCTACAATATGCAAAAGAATCCAAATCCCTCAAGACCCATTTGCATTTCTAACTAAAATCTCTTCCTCCTTGATCAAAAGAGGTTCCAAAGGAACTACAATATGCAAAAAAAAAAAAAAAGGAAAAAGAAATCCAGTCCCCTCGAACCCCACTTGCATTTCTAACTAAATTCCCTTCCCTTTTGATCAAAAGAGGTTCTCCAAATGCTTGATACAATCTTTTAGAAGCTGCTGGATAAGTCAGCGTTGTGGATGAGATATGTGAGTGCCAATGCCACCAACATCAACACATAAGCTATCCCTTGGTCTATGGATGTCCCTGTGAAATGACGTTTCAAAGATACCAATTAAGTTCACTAAGAAATCTATGAATTTCAACCCTAATTCCTCAGGATTTTGCTTTTCAAAGAACTATTTAAAATGAACTTCAGAGTATAAGACATCAAGACGAAACACCTTTGTTCTAAAAGGTAACGTAATAGTAGTCAGGCCAACCAAATAGCAAACAGAATTACTTTGCATAATCATGGCAATAGGTTTAATTACACTCGCAAATTAATAGTTTATAGAAACTACAAGATAACTTTATGCAGTTGTTACGGATACAAGAAAATAGCTTCTGTATTATTTGTCATTTCTAACATTTGGTGCACAAATTGATGCCAATGACCTCTCGCAAAATTGAGAATACAAATACGTGTAGGAAAATAGATCCACCAAGGCTTGAACAAACAATCAAAACTAAAGGGGAAAAAAGTGAAGATTTGCGCTTAATATCTTTAATCACAGTTCATCAAGAAACGTAAACCGAAACAATGTTTTGGTAAACTCAGAAACTGAAACCCTCAAAATAATCAGGAAACAAAGAATAAACAAACAAAACTCATTTCAAGCCACAGATCAACAGTCCACACAGATCTAGAACAAAAATACAAAACATAACTTAAAGAAATAGAAATTAAGAAGAGAACTAACCGTCGCTGGTGGGAGCGGGTGCCGGAGCCAAGGACTGAGGCTGAGCAACCGGCAAGAAGATGGCAAAGATGAGCGCGGCGGCAGCCACAAATCCAAAAGACGTCCTGGAAACCGCCATTTGACTCCGAATCGTGCTGTGATTTTCTCCTCTCCTTTCTTCAGGCGATGAATCGCAAGAAATGTAGTACCAAGGCTCGATCTCTCTCTGCGATGCGTCTCTCAGATCAAGAGGCTTTCAGTGCCTTCTTCTTCAATGACTTCAAAGAGGCTCGCAGAGAGAGAGAGAGAGAGAGAAAGGAATCTCCCTTTCCCTCCTCGAAGGGCGAAATGGAGAAGACGATTAAGAGAAATCTCTGAACGGTACAGAGGCAGTTCAGCGATGGAGGACGGGGGAATCCAAATCTCCGAAGGAGTATCATTTTATAGGGTAAATTATTTATTTATTTATTTTATTTTTAAATTATTATTATTTTTTAATCCATTTATATACGTTTTTAGCAATATTATAATTTTTTTTTGCTTAAATTAAACGTAACTGGATTAATTCAGTTTTATATATTAATGTTTGATAAGTTCCCAAATTTAAATCTTTTGGTAAATTTAAAAAATAAATTAAAATCGCACCTACCAAATAAATTAATATTTCATTGTGTCGTTTAATAATTGTAATGTACAAAATAGTAGCCACCAATGTGGGACTGTCTCACTAAAACACGAATGAATAGAACCACAACTCGCTAAACATGCCTCTTAAATGTACGCAGTGCACATCTATTTAGCTCGACGCTGCTTTAAATCTAATATTATGTGAGTGCCGAGTGCAAATGATCGAGCACCAAACCAGTGCAATATTTCGCAATAGGTCAAGTTCGGTTGCTGTCTAAGATTCATTGAAAAACCCCACATCGTCTAAAAATGATTTTTTTTTTTTTTTTTTTTTTTTTT